AAATTATCCTGAAGACTGTCACATCATAGATTCCACATCCACCATCCCTATTTGACTTCCATATGGACTTGGTTTATTCAGGCTAATCACAGCTTCCCCAGAATAGAACCTTCTAACAAACTTTCTTGCTTTGTCTCCAGCTATTGTCTATGACTCCACCCACAGGCCTCATGGTCTTAGAGCATCAACCTGAGGCCAAGGTTTCTCTTCTTACAGGTCAGATCCTGAACAAACAAGGCCAACCCGAGAGCATAATTGAGCAAATCAAATTTGCTATTTCAGGAATTCAGTTATAGGGAGGTGTCTAAAAGAGCCTAGAAGTAGTCTCTAGAAAGGAGCATTAGTCTTGAGCAGAAGCACATCATGCAAGGATGACTGGGAGAGGTTTGCATGTATATCCCTCCCACCTACCTCACCAGTTGTTAGGCAAACACCGAACAAGGACTCCAATAAATCTGCTTTCTTGCCACTATGAGGTAACATTGGTTGGATTTTATGCATATAGTTATTTTATGCATGTTTTAAACACGGTTTGTGAAATAAGCCACAATGACTGAGTTCACATACAACACATTAAAGCAAACCATTTGTTGGTTTAGCATTACCTGTGAACTGAACACAATGAGTAACGATGGTCTGTCTAAAGATCCACTCTCCTTTTTACTCATATCAGCTTCCCATAGAATTACCTTTTATATTAACATGTTAATATTTATCTTGAAAAGGAGTTAAAGTTCGTTATGGATTTGATTGTTAATATAGTTGGGTAATGTTAGTTAGATTATGATTGTTTATTTTTAACCCAGTAATCAGCTTTGGGAAGTAGGGGAGTGGGGGAGGGGTGGGAGGGATTTGGGATATATATTGTGTAAAATTTTTAAAACTTTTAATAAAAAAAAGAATTGCCTTTTATCTTCTGGTCCTATAGTCACACTGGATCTCATTTTACATCAATAATTTCTTAAATTCACTATTTCACTAAAGTAGTGCTTAACCGAAAAAGAAATATGACTGTCTTGTTTTCCTCAGGCTCCATTTTCGTTACTGCATTATTTATATATGAGCTGCAAAACCTAGATTATCTGTAGATAACAGTAGCAGAGATATTGAAAACTCTCTTTGCTACCATCTAGTAAATGCCTGAGACTTTGCAGCCCAGTTGTGCTATTACAATCTATCAATATATTAGTGCTAATGGTACAGAACCCCTTTTGATATTGCTGCCCCAGAGAATCAGCATTACTTAACAGCATAATAAGAGCAAATGAATATATTTTCTATATTTGAATAAGGATGGAAAATAATATTGCTGTTTATCCTCAGAAAACATTCATATCCTATCTAAAACATTTCCACATGTGGCAAATTCCAAAATACAATAGATGCCAGGACTAATATATAACACTTGGAATCAGAACTTAAACTTTACTATTTTTCTCTGACAATGATGAATAAGCAAACATAAGATCTCAATCTTATTTCTCTACAATATCCATTGATAGTTTTTGATTATCCATAGTGAAATGGGAAATCTTTTCTACACCAATGGCCGGCTATTTGAAGTATATTGTGACCCACGGTATTAATTGTTTTAGATTTGATTGTTTATTCATATGCATTCATATATGCAGGAAATAAATACAATCCCCCCCAAACACAAAATATTTAAAAATTTATTAGCTGCTGTCTCAAAAGAGAGATTTGTTTGTGCTCTTAGGTGGGAATTTTCACAATGCTTAAGTCTTTAAATGCTCGAGGATCTCAGATATGGAATTCTTCATTTACCTCCATGATTTAAATCTATTTTAATACAATTCTTTTAAGCACCTGATGTATAAAGCACCCTCACTTTATAAGAAATTCTATGTAATATAAAACAATATTGTATAGGGGAAAGAAATTTGTGGATGTTATGATCTCTACTGACAGTTAAACAATGTGATCCTGATTCTTCTCCTGGTCCAGTACTAAAATGTCATGGAACTCAGGGAGGATTATGCTGAAAAGCCAATTGTTCTAGAATGTTTCAAATTTAAGTTTCAGAATAAATATTGGTAATGCCATATTTCAGTTTCAGTTTATACTGAAAACAGCACAAATATTCTCTCTGAAGCCCCCACTGCATAAGAACAAAAACAAAAAAGCAGAGATAGCTAGTCCAGTTGCACATTATCCCTCTTGAAGACTTTGTTTGCCCTCACAGATTCCAATCCATGGACAATTTGAATAGGCTATGTGATGTTGTGAGCTCCTCATGGCCCTTACGAGGTCCCAAATCAATTGTGATCGCCACAAAGGCTAAAACAGAGCTGAAAACATGACTCTTACAGTGGCTAAAGAGAGAAGACACTTCCTTCACATATAGGAACATTGTTCTTTTTTTAAAAAAAAGACAGGATTTTCACACTGAAAATATTCTTAAATGTAAATATGTGACTGTCCTGAGAATTAGATAACTGTAAATGTATTGACTATGTCGAATAACTTCTAGCTTTTTATACATACATACATACATAAAATTTTCTGTAAAATATAACATTATCAGAAGCATCGCAGTAAGGTTTTTTTTTACTTACACATTGGACATTTTCATTTTGATAAAGTTGATGCTAAAATGGTTAGTATTAATTTGTTCCTATAATATCTTCCAAGCACATTGCTGGCATGCATTTGTTATTATTGGCATTCTCTGTAACATTCTTACTGACCTAATTATGGGGTCTGGCCTAAAAAACTGACACGTTTCATGGAAAGGACAAATGTTAAGCGAGGATGTGATCTGGAAAAAAATATATCCTGTACTCTGACGAATGAGGAAATGATGTTTTCCTTTATTTCTCTATGCTGAGATTTACAACACTCTTGACAACAGAAAGTTATCTATTAGAACTGTTAAAAATACAAATATTAATTTTATTGTACAATGGTTTCTATTCTTATCAGATCAAAACTGCTCAATAGTTAAAGACTTCCTTTTGCAACAATCTATGTGTGTATATGCAAAAAAATTGAGTGGGTCCTACAGTGCTCAGTAAGTGTCTATAATCCAGTAGACTTGTGCCAGTATCTTACTTTGTAATGTACAATAGATGCTGAAAGAGCATGAAATCACACTAATCTAAGTAGGTCTGACATTTTGGTATGTCTAAAGGCAACTCTGGGTGGGAAATGTTTTTATATACCTAACCCTAACCCTTAAGAGCTCTGGGTAACATACAAAGTAATTATAGAAAAAAATATCAGTAAAAGCAATCAGAGTTTAACAGATATAAAATACAAAAGCTAAAACCATTAACTGTATTAAACTTCAGAACATAAATAACGCTTCAGTTCTGTCTTAAACTATAGGAAGGAAATTAGGTGTTCCAATTGCAATGACAGAGAGCCAGTTTGGTGTAGTTGTTAAGGCACTTGGCTAAAATCTGGAAGACTCTGTGTTCTAGTCCTGCCTTTAAGCAGAAAGCCAGCTGGATGATTTTGGTCAGTCACTCTCTCTCAGCCCTAGTCATTTCAGAAATCTTGCAAAGAAAACTGCAGGGATTAGTTTAGGCAGTTGCCAGGAGTCAACAGTGACTCAAAGGCATCTCTCCCCCCCCCCAAAACCCCCAAATGTCTAAGCCCTAATACTAATGGCGCTCAAACTAAGGATGTTCTTGAATTTCCTAGCACAAAATCTGTAGAGCCACTTGGACTCTTGATTTTTTTTTATGTCACTCTTGCTATTGTCCCTAAAAGCCATCTCTATATGATCTGAGTGTATGGGAAAGAGTAACAATACACCAGAAATCAATCAACTTGCTTCTTAGTAGGGCAGAAAGTATCAGCAAGGATTATTTTCCGGGTGTAACTTGCTAATGTTTGTTCATTTATTACATTTACATGCCACCCATCTCATTGTCAAGCGACTCTGGGTGACTTACAACATCACAAAACAATAATATAAAACAGTCAAAACATTAAAAGTGAGCATAAAAACTAGATAAGAAAGTAACCAATACGTAAATGGAGCAGAGGTGGGATCTTCTTAGTCTACTAACCATTTCCAGAGTGGAACATTCCCATTCAGGCTCCAAGTTTTCAGGTTGTTTCAGAAAGCCAAGGGGGCAGATTTCATCTTAAGCAGCATGATGATACAGAGGCAGGAGCCATGGCAGAAAAGGCTCTTCTCCTGGACCCTGCCAGCTTATGTATCAAATCATCATTAAAAATTTGGAACCATACATGGCAACTGAGAACCAAGGGTGCATCTAGATCCTGACTTATACTATGAGCCTCTCCAAGTCTTCCAAGGTCAATACAATGTAGAACTAAAAGTGACATTTAGTCAATACATGGGTCATGCAGGAGCAGGAAAGGACATGTTTGGATTAAGGAGACAGTAACCAGCACTATGTGCACACCATATATACTTCAAATCATATTTTCCCTTTCAAATCCAGATCGCTCATATTCCTAATAGGAAATACTACAGTAAATTCTTTATCTCTAATAGTCAAACAAGGACGTACTATTGTTTTACAGCATCACATTACACTGATGTGCCTCAAATAGGTCTAAATAGTGGCTCTCCGGAAAAAAAAAAAAGATGTAGAAGCCCAGCAGCCTTTAGAGATAAGCTGGAATGTAAACATGCATCAAATTATGCTAGTCCATCAATCCAACTCCAAAATCAAAAGTGATTTCAGTTAAAGAAATATCAGTTTGGCTGAAATTTCCATTTAATTTTACAAAGGACCCAAATATTTCACGATGGAGAGGATGAGGAATTTTAACTTTATAACAGTTTTGTTTGTTTGTTTTTGCTACTGTTCTTCAATGTGTGCCATTTTAATTCTAATTCTGTTGGTTGTTTAATTCATCTCACTGAGAAATTTAAAAGAATCCAATGAAAAATGCCTATAATTTGCTAGTGCCTGACACTGGTTCAAATGGATGTAAAATTGCAGGACTGATCCTCAAACATATCATAGAATCCTTTGTGATTGCTGCTTCTTGCTTACCTGCACAGATTTCTCCACCATAGGTTTCACATACCCATTCATGACATTCACACAATGGCCCATAATATTTGCCTGGCTCAGTCACTTGACAGATGCAGACCCCACAATCACATTGGCCTCTGCCACTGCACAGTTTTCCATCTGGAATTTGACATCGCTGCTCTGACTCAGACCGGGAAAGTCTGCAAGATGAGGTGCTTTTTAAACCATTCCTGAAGAGGATGAAAAAAAAAAAATAGCAAGTTGCAAAGACATGGGTGTTACAGCTATGAAAAAAACCAAACCAAAAACAAAAGCTTGGTTTATGGCATTCTTTTCTTCTGCAAAGACCACACAATCTGAATTACCCCCTGGATAAACCGTTCTGTCAGCCACACACTTACTAAGATTGATGCATAATTCAGCTTCTGTTCATCTGCAATAAACTATTTCATAGGATGCTGTAAAGATTCGAGAATAGAGTGATGCTAACTATGACTGTACAGTGTTTTGCATTTGATTCCAAAAAGATGCTTCAAATGTAAATTACTGCAACTTTTCAAAGCAGCCAGGTCTTAGAATCAGGAGACCTGACACAGCTGCTTTAAACAGTTGCAGGCAACTATTCTGCTGGTAACTTTATGTGTTCTGAAGCATCTTTTGGGAACTGAAACTGAAGCATTGCACAGTCCTAAGTCTGACTCATCCATAGATATAAAGAGAGCATCTAACATAGAACCATTGTGAGCAAATATGTTTGGGCAAGTTGTCCAAGTAATCAAACATGTCATCTTTATTTTTGACAATCAGTTATTCCTTGTGGACAAATTCATCTTTGAAATTCTTCTGTAAGAATTTATTATATTGCAAAGAATCACGCTTTTGTAACTATAGCTCATCAATTCTCCATTCCCCAAAAGAATGCTTCAGATTGTTGTTAATGGGATTGGTTTTCAGGGAATAATCTAAATAAAGGTACCACCAGGAAGTTCCAACTTTCAAGTCATATCCCAGGTTTTAAGTACAGAAGTAAACATTCAAGACCATACAAATGCCAGGCCGTGGTCTTTTCAGTACTCCTGGATGCGTTGCTAGTCTCATAACCAGAATTTTTGAAGATGTGTGCATTTCTTTATTAGTAGTATTTCTGAGTCAGGGCTAAACCTGCTTTTAGTAGACAGGAGTTTAAATGAAATAGGATGAAACTGGTAAACTTATACATGAGTAGGTCAGAGATTAAATGGAGACTAGACACCCAGATAAACTTTGGAAAATCCCCTTTTGCACTCAAGGGGGCACTACATTCAAAATTCAAGGGCAGTTTAGCCTATCCCCACTAATTCGGAGTATTGATGTATGGTGCATATCTCAGCTTCACGGACAAAAGAAACATCAAAAGATTTGGTTTTGCATCACAATGGGATTTCTGTTTAAACTTACAGAGATAAGCAGCAGTTTGAGGAAATAAAAAGAAAAGCCATAGACACACTCTATTTAAAACAGTACTTTCTCCCTGCACCGTTTTCCAGACCTCTAAGCTTATTGCTAAAGTAAACTGATAGAGCTTACCGCAGGGTCAAGGATGAACTTTGTGGAATAGCAGGCAACAAAATGAAGACGGAAGAGGCGAATAGCAGCATCACCAAGCCGAGAAAGCCCTTTGTATGCATGATTAAATCCAAGGACTGGCGACAAGAGTTTTCCTGGAGAGTTCAAACACAGAGACCCACTCGGCTTGCTATGTTCTGAGCTGGCCAAAACCAGCTCCTTCCCCCACTGTGCTCCACCAAGTGCCTTTGATTAGCTGTCTGGAATCTGGATTTGGGCAGCATCCTGAAAGGAAAGGATAGTGCCAAACTCTGTACTTTATAGTCTAGGCTGGGAAGTAATTAGAAACAGTTGTACGGCCAGATGGCTTATTTTGACATAATAAAGTATCCTGTTTATGGTTTTGAGAACTTTTGATTCTAAAAACCAGGCACCTCAAGACACCTTTTTCTTTGATAAATGGAGGTTTGTGATAGTGATGGTAAAAAGATTGAGACAAATATGTCCTGGTAGGTTTGGCAGAGAAGTCTAGCCATGTTCAGTGTAGCACTAAGACCACAGGTGAATGCTTTATATTCTTTAGTGCAGAAGGAAAAAGAGAAAGTGACTTGGTGCTTCCCCTCCCTCTTAGTCAGCAGAAGCAGTAAATTAGAAGCTGTTTGTGCTGACCTTCAGGATGTCAAACTGACAACAACTTGTGTCAAAGCATCTGCTCAGTGTAAGAGATTTAATCAGTTTTCAAACATCAGACCGGAGCAAAACCAGGCTTGTCATTATGCATTTGACTGCATGTAGGCAAAACACAGAGAACACAGATCTACAGATATGTATTTCCTGTGTTCATAATTCTAAATATTCCTCCAAACACTTAATCTTTTTGACAGGGCAAAGAACCTATAAAGCAGTGGGCTTCTTCATTTTCTATTACTTTGTTTGTTTTGTGGTCCCACCAGTTCTTACTGTATTTCTTGCAGATATCCAATACATCATTATCGCTATTTTTGTCATGCCATTGGTTGTAATCAGTCTGTGCAGTCTTCGTGCAGCAGCTAACTAGGTGGCCCACTGGGGGTTTTTTTTCCAGCTTTTTTGCAGAAGCAGCATTTGCTGCCTGTTGCTTCTTCTCAATTTTGACTTTATAAGCATTTGTTCTTAAGGCTTGGTCTTATGCAGCCAGAATTAGTCTCTCTGGTCTTTTTCTTCAATTTACCTGCTCTTAGCCATTGCGAGGACTTTTTGTTATCTGTTTGGTCTCCATTTTTTAAATGTACTGGCCATGTAATATTTTTCCTTGCTATGTCTCTTTTCTATTCTCTATTTGATCATTCTTCTAGGCCAGCTTAATCTCTTGGATATTCAGTAAATCTTCATGGTATAATGCTTCAGTGTATCTTCTTCCCTGTCCTTCATATATTCTTCCAATACCCCTTTTTCTTTCTCAACTGTCTGATGTACTTGCAACATTCCACACCTACCAATGTTCCTTGGTATATACAATCTGTCAACATTGCTGCAGGGTTGAATGTCATGATTCATTATTTTTTTGGTCTTTCTATTCAGGGCTGTTAACTCTGCTTTAGTCCATTATTACAGCTGTGTATCTAATGACTGGAATTGCTCAGGTGTTAATTGCTTTGATGATATTGAGGAGAGAGAAGGATTACATCCCAGAGTTCTAAAGGAACTGGCAGATACCATCTCACAAACCTTGTACCATATCTTTTGAAGTACTTGGAGCACCAGGGAACTATCCAAGTACTGGAAAAGAGCTTATGTGGTTCCCATCTTCAAAAAAGGGGGAAAAAAAACGAGACCCAGGAAACTACAGACCAATCAGCCTGAGAAGATCCTGTAAAAGATATTCAAGCATAACATTGAAGTGATGAGGGCCAACATACCTAATTTGCTCAAATCCTCATAGACTCATAATCTGAAATTATGTATTTCAAGTCTTATCTAATCTCATTTTCACATATCAAATCTCTGTATCACAATGGCTCTGCACATATCTTTACTGCACACTAGTTTGAGCATCTAAATGAATCACAGGCAAACAACAGGCAAGCTTGCCTACTTTCATTTCTATCTCTCATCTGTTTCACCAGTTTATTACTTCCACAGTATATCAGTCTCTCCAGACACTGGAGATATAGCTAGTCAGATGCAACCCCCAATCTTGTAAGCACTAGCTGTATTCTGCATATCTATTCCTTAGCTTCCCTAATTTGAAAGAAGTTGCACATATAACTCACTTTGGATTTTTCAGCACCATACCATTTATTTATTGAGATGCCAAAATAATGGAAGTCTAATCAATCAAAGCAGTGATAAAACTGCATTGTCTTAAGCTTCAAACAGGTTCTTAAAATGTTCCATTTTTTTCAGTTACTGCTGTCCAATGCAGATAATATGATGGATGAGAAAACACTAGATATGTCTTACATTTATGACTCAGAAAAACTGAACGCTCCCCATAAGGTTAAAAATATTTCTCTATATAGTCAATCATGAACTCAAGTGAACTTTCTTTCAAAATTTTGATTCCTGCCCATGGTCTTATTAGAATTCTTGGTAGTAGTAAATGAAATGTCTTTACTTTTAATTGTATCCTTTGGGCACAAGAAACAATCCATTTTCTCTATTCGGCATGGCTTTGAAACAAGACTGCCAAATACATTTTATTAGCTCTTCTGTATTGCATCCATATATCCTGGAAGGTTCCCCACTGATAGAATCACAGAGTTGGAAGAAGTCTTGTGGTCATAAATTCCAATCCCTGCTGAGGGCAGGAACCAAACAAAAATCATCCCTGACACATAAATTTTATTACTTTATAATCTTGTAACAAATTTCATTTGACAAGATGACTGGAGACTTACAAGGAAGCTACAACAACATTCTCGGTTTTGGCAACTCTACCCCCCCCCCCAAATTCAATGTGCTTATTGCACAGCCAATTTCATGATAACTAACCAGGCTATAAAGAGAAAAGCCACTGGGAATCAACTGTTAGGATGCCATTACATGAAACGTTTCAGGAACTCAGTATTCTCATATAAAAGGGCAAAGAAGGAAATAACTGCCCAGATTTATTTTAGTCCCATAAGCACCCAGTGATAGAAATCTAAACTTTGTTAATAAATAATAAATACAAAACCACAATTTTGTATGCATTATATATTAATCAATGTGGAAGATTTGAAAATGCCTTCCCCTTTGTTTCATAATTATTTTGACTGAGTTTCTACAACTTTGGTTAATTCAGCAAACCACAGTTAAACAAACTCTGGGATGGTGTGGTATTACATGATTTGTTTGATTCAGGGATATTCCAAAACCAAATTAACATACTCTTCAGTCATGTCTATCTAATACTTATGGATTTCAGTTCCTGTTCAAAACAGAAAAATGGTTATCACTTATTTTGAAATTTAATATACATATATAGTATTACACTTGCTGCATTTTATTGTCACGTTTTGAACTGTAATAAGCATATTATGGATTCCTATTTTGAACTGAGTGTCATTGTCACCGACTTATTAATGCATATTATTTGCTTTGAACTGTAATCTATTTCAGGGCTTTTCAACCTTTTCACCCATTGTACCACTTTTAGGATATGGCAATATCCAAGTACCACCAGTCGCCTAGCCAGGTGTCAAAAACTTGATGACCAAAAAAAGGGGGGGAGTGATAAAGTACAGGTAGTTCTCGACTTACAACAGTTCACTTAATGACTGTTTGAAGTTACAATGGCACTGAAAAAGTGCCCCCCAAGGCAGTCGAGCAAAACACCTGCCTGCCCGCTCGACGGTGCTCTTCCTCCTGTCTGAGGTTTTCATTGTTGTGAGCATTTCTGTTGAGGAATGGCTGTGGGGGTGGGGTGGGGGGGTCTTTTGTTTTTATTCCCTCCGTCTGCTGCGTGGTTGCAGCAGGTTTTGGTCACTTCACATGACCCTGGGACACTGTGACCGTCATAAATATGAATCAGTTGCCAAGCATCTGAATGTAAATCACAAGACCCTGGAGATGCTGCAACATTCCAGCTGATCGGCGCTTCTTCTGGGCTCAGCAGAAGCGTCAGGATCAGCGCCAAGCTCCAGCCATCTCTCACTCAGGCTTGTGCGGTGCCGCCACCAGTTCAGCTCATTCCCCTCACCCACTACCACTTTTCTAGGATGGTCACGTACCACCTGCCAGGTGCCAATGTACCACAGGTGGTACCCGTACCACTGGTTGAAAAGCCCTGATCTATTGTAAAGTTTTGATTTAAAAGAAAAGCAAAATCTAACTCTTAAAATAAAAATTTAAATTTATTGGCCACCCAACTCCAGTGTTTTGTTGGAGGCATTATTTGCAAATGTTTACCTTGTAATGATTAAAGACATTAGCTGACATCATAAGGAACAACTAACCATTCTACATGAATATTATTTCCCCAGTGTTATTTCATTTATGGATTTACATAAATTCTCACTTACTGATATCCACTAACAATTCTGCTGCAGAGTTTGACTTTGCATTTGTGTTATAAGATCATACTGTCCATAGCATTATTTTGCCTTGTAGCAATATATTTCTAGGAATGTGGAAAGCACTGAAAAGTATTTTTATGTCTACCTGTCAAAAATATGTATTTTCTATTAATATTTTCAGGGGCCTTGATGGGTTATTTAATGTGATCTTCTCCAAAAGTTTCAAAGTGTTTTGAAACAGAATCACTAACAGCTAAAATGTAAAAACTTAACCTAGTTTGTAAAATCATAATTGGCTGGAGATTTAACCCTTACGCTTTCAAAAAGCTGTTTATCTTACACAAATAATAGGCAAAGATTGTTGTGTGTCTATTAACAGGGGACTTCCTTTGCATCTAATTTCCACTAGGACTGTGGAGTAATTCAGATTCAAAGAGAAAAAAGTGAGGGGAGACAGACCTAACAGTGGTCATCATTACTTTAAATCAAATTTGTCTTTTCTTAGCACCACATGAGCAGAGGAAAAACTCATCACTTCTTTAAGGAATTGCTAGCAGGTGTAAGATGAAATGCCTCTGTGCATCCAAACCATCTTTTTCCCTTTGAATCTGGGTCACTGCATACTCCTAATAACCACAGATCATGAAGTAACATGTTCATATGAAGAATTATGTTCATGCATACATCTGGGAGGATTGGCATGAATATATGTTCAGAATTTACTATCAAGACTAATAAAAATCCATGAGGTAAAACATCAAACATCAATTCTGAATATTTACAGTATTTAAATGATATTGTCAATAGTAGCCAGGAGAGATTTTAATCTATTTCTAATCTACTGATTTGAATAGAAATGAGCAGGCAAGCAGAGGAAACTAACAGGACCTTGGTAACAGAGTTCTGTTAAATGAATAACAATAAAAAAAATAACATTAAAAGTTGTATTTTGAAGTGTGGGAAGTCAGCCCCCCCCCAGAGAAAGAAATATTTTTGGAAATATTAAAAGACAGAATTCATTTCCCTAAAGGATTTAAAGGCAGAAACCAACCCCACCCTCAAGTCTCTTTGTCCCAAACAGAAACCAAGTCTGCAGAATTGCAGATGTGATAATCTTGTCCGAAAGATTGGTGTCCGGAAACTGGGATTAGGAAGAAACATCCCTAGATCAACAATTCCTCACACCAAAAATCTAAGAGTCATCAGCCACAGCCACAGGGAAGCAGGATATGACCTTTGGGACATAATAGGATTAACCCACCACCATCAGAATACCAGAAAGGCACACTCAGATTCAGGTCAAAGTTCATGCCACAAGAACAACTCCAAACAAAAGGCTCAGGAAGGTATAAAAACCCACTCTCTACATGTGCTCGCTCTCTTTTCTTCCAGAGCCATCTTCCTGTCTGGCTCTCCTCTTCAATAAACTGCAACCTTCTTTCTAAAGCAGTCACCATGTTGTTTATTCCCGGCTTGGACTGAACCATGATGAAGACTTTTCCTTCAACAGAAGCATTGTGGGCTCAATCGTGAACAGCTGATCCTACGCATTACCAGGGAAGTGTCCTCCAGGAAGCAAATGAAGAGACAGAACCAAAAACATCTTGGAAATAAGGATCAAGGGAAATATCCCTAACAATTTTTTTCTTCAAAATCATTGTTTCTCAAACTTGGCAACTTAAGGATCTTGTGGGTTTCAACCCTCAGAATTCCCTAGCCAGCCTACCTGCTTCATACACTTTCAAGTTGCCAAGGTTGAGAACCACTGCTCTAAATTAATAGTATGTGCAGTTTACTTAGGGGCCTGAACAAGTGAAATAAAAGGCTATGTTTCAAGAAAAAATTACATATGAATAAAGTTAGTTATCTTAAGGCAGGTTTATATTCTTGCCTGAAAACAATTGGCCTGTATTTGCACAATGTGCAACCTTGTAGTAGGCTTAAGGAGAAAGTCAAGGACTGAAGCAGTGAGAAACGACATTTCAACTCATAAGAGATTTGTCAAGGGTAACAACCCATGGCTAATGGACTACATGCAGCTCCAGGATCATGGTGCCAATGTTACAAACTCTGGCAATCCAGCTGTTATTGCTCCAAAGCTCCTTTTCTGAATTACTTCCTAAGTGCTGTACAGTCCTAATGAAGGATAGCATTCTATTACTACTAAGAGTAATAGAATTTCAATATGATCAAGAGTTTCTAAAATAATGTACTAAAAACACAAATACAAACAATTCTGGTGGGGGGAAAAAGCAAAAGAAAGCACTGTAGCACAGATCGTTCGTGAACACACTAAAACAAAAACTGACAAGCCACCATAATGTATCCAGATAGAAGCGGAGATATATCAGAAGGCTAAAATCCAGAATAAACTGAAAGTGCTGAAGATGGTAAGTAAAAAGGTTTCTTCAGGTACATGAAAAATAAAGGTAAAAGAATTAGCTTACCAGAAGCTCAGTGAAGATGGCAAAATGCTATAGCCAACAAAGAAAAGACACTGAATTACAGTATTTTACTCCTATTCAATGCCCACTCTTCTCAATCAAGAGGATATGTCTTCCCTCAGAGACCAAGACATGGAATCACTGACAATCATTGAAAGGTAGATTTTAGCTACCTGTGAGTGGGGAAAATATTTTTCAAATGAGACCAATTGATAGATGCAATCACTCCCTGCATTTCCTCAGCCCTAATCTTTTCTCTTAACTGGGCTTGTTTCAAATTTTTGAGGAGGATGGAAAATAAAATAGATTCCCAAAGAACAGAATTGAATTGCTAGATAGTTATCTTACTAGCTGTTGATCCACATTCCCTTGTTTTTTTCAAAATCTGCCATACTGTCCAGAAATAGAATAGAGATTGGAGGTCTTTTAGTCCAGCCCCCTGCTCAAGCAGGAGAACTTATACCAGTGATGGCGAACCTATGGCACACAGGCAAGAGGCGGCACTCAGAGCCTTCTCTGTGGGCACGCGCACAATGCCCTGGAGATGACAACTGTCCCTCTTCAACCAGCCACCTGCTCACTTGTTGAGGTCCCACGTGTTTGGATTCATCCCAGCATGGCTGGTTTCCCTCCCCCCTCCCATCCCTCCTGGTCTCACATGCTCTCCTTTTCCTGGGCACGACCCACTGCATCGCCTCCTCAGCTGTTGGCCGTCCGTCCAGCACAAAGACGGCTTGTCTGAACTGATGGGAGCAGGCTGCGGAGCCCCAGAGTGTGCTGGTTGACAGGCTGGCAGGCTGTGGCTGCTGACGGACAGTCAGCCCCCATGCGCTCACTGGCCTCTGTGTGCAGGGACCGATGGTGTCAGACAGCAGCTGCCCCGGCCCCTGCCCCTGCCTTGCAACAATGGCACCCCCGCCCTGCCCACCGCCCACCTGCCAGAGATCCCCTGGATCTCCCCAACTGCCCGGCCCCCACAGGCATCCCTCCCCACGAGCAACATCGAGGTGACCACACCCACTTTGGCTACACCCACCCAATCTGCCATGACCACAGCCATGCCCATGCAGTGGGCCACACCCACCTGGCACCCAGTGATAAATAAGTGGGTTTTGGGTTGCAATCAGTCTCTAAAAGGTTCGCCATGACTGACTTATACCATCTCAGACAAGTGACTCTCTAGCCTCTTCTTAAAAACCTTCAGTGATGGAGTGCCCATGATTTCTGGAGGCAAGCTGTTCCACTGGTTAATTGTCCTCACAGTCAGGAAGTTTCTCCTTAATTCCAGATTGCTTCTCTCTTTGATCAGTTTCCAACCATTGTTTTTTGTCCTGCCCTCTGGTGCTTTGGAGAATAACGTGACCCCCTCTTCTTTGTGGCAGCCCCTCAAATACTGGAATACTGCTATCATGTTTCCCCTATTTCTTCTTTTCTTTAAACTAGCCAAACCCAAGTCCTGCAGCTGTTCTTCATATGTTTTAGTCTCCAGGCCTTTGATCATGTTAGTTGCTCTTCTCTGATTTTTTTCCAAACTCTCAACATCTTTTTTGTGATATGATGACCAAAACTGGCTGCAGTATTCCAGATGTGGTCTTACTAGGGTTTTATAAAGCGGTACTAATACGTTGCATGATCTTGATTCTATGCCTGTTTATACAACCCAGGATTATATTAGCTTTTTGGGCTGCTGCTGCACACTGCTGGCTCATATTCAAGTTATCATCCACTAGGACTCCAAGATCCCTCTCACAGTTACTGTTTTTAAGCCAGGTACTGTAAAATATCTCAGCAATTTCCAGAGATCAAACAACTATTCTACAGGTAAAGGTGGAAAAGCATTAACAACCATCATCAACAACCATTTTTAACCTCAGTCATCTCCGTTTCCTAATAGATAGATGGGTTTGGCTAGGTGGGATGAGGCACGGGTCTGCAAATAAGTTGCCAGGTGACTCAGTAAAGCTCTCCTCTTGAGCAAGAGATAGAAGCATTTCCCCATCTACCAGTTTCCATCGTGGTGTGTATAGTTGAGAATAAATGTTTTGCTACTATCTGCTATTTGCTCTGTCCTTCTATACAGAATTCAGCCTGGGCCTGGGCCTACAGAACTGAATCTTATGGTATTGTACTTCTGAAAGTAATAATCATGCTGGGACAAGAGCAAACAAAAGACCAGAGGCCTTCCTAGCTAAATCTTGAAATGCTCATTTTCCTTAACCCATCACCTAGGGAAGGCAATTGCTCCTCCCTTTTGCAGTCTCTCCCTCTTTCCCTTCTCTCTCCCCCTTTCCCCTCTCTCTCTCTGGGAAGTGTGGCCCATAGGGTCTTTGGATCAGATGCCCAGCAACAGTAGGGATCCAAAAAGTGGGGTGTCCAGGGAAGGGGGGGGTTCCCAACCTGAGTTAAACCCCTGCCCATTTTGCACCTGCACCGTGACACTTTACACACTCTCCCTATGATGGGTGTCGCATTTTGCAAATCAGGCAATCCTTTCCGGGTAGGAGGGGTGAAATCGGTGGCCTTAATTGGTCCGCCCCTCCCAGCTCTGCAAGTAGGCCACCAGAACCCCTGCCTAAGCGAAGCCCCCCATCCACTCTCTCTCTTTCACAACTTCCCGAACTGCGCAGTGCCTCGGGCTGCGGCATCCAAAGATAGGACGCCGACATTCTATTCCCAGGTGGCAAGCTCCCCCCTCCCTCCACCCCCCAGCTGGCTCCGCCATTCGCTCCTTTTGGGGAGACCGGGCTCGAGGACCAGGGGGAGCCCGATCCAAGGTGAGGGGATGTCAGCTAGACCGCCGGGAACCAGCCGCGTGCCTGCTCCGGGCAGGAGGCGCCGTCTGCGCGTGTCCTCTCGCGCTCCCGCCTGCCGCCGGGAGATGCTCGCAGGGAAGCGCGGTTGCTGGGCGACCGCAAGGCTGCGGCCGGCCAGCCAGCCAGCCAGGAGAAACCTGCTACCAAGCTCGCCCTCGTCGCCCCCACCGGCCGCCTGCCTGCCTGCCGGCCGGCCGGGTGCGGCGTCTTCCTCCCCCGCCCTGCGGGTCACGCCCTCTCTGGCTGCCGACGCCTCGGGAGACCGGCTTTTAAAAAATAATAATAAAAAGCCAAATGCTCTCCCCGGAGAAGACACCACCAAATAAGCTTCCTGGTCCCTTAACGCCATGAAGGGAAAGGCAGGCGGGTAGGTTGCTGTCTGCGGGCTTTCGGGCTTGGGTTGGGGGTCCGCTTCCCCTGCTGCTTCGCCCCGTTCCCCGCTCCCCTCCCGCACAGCTATAGGGATGCGACGGGGGGGGCTGTTCGACGGGGGAGGCGGCCGCTTCCTTGATGGCGGGGCGCTGTGCGGTATCTGGAGAAAGGCGAAGAGGTGCTTTTTTGGGTGGGAAAGGGGGGAGGAGGAAGCTTGGAGGGGTGGAGAAATGCTGGCGCAGTGGCGGCCACCCGCAAAAGAGGCCTCGGTCCTTCGGCTTGGTCCGGGGACATCCGGGTGGGCTCCTTACCTGGGACTAGAATAATGCAGCTTCTCTGCACCTTCCAAGGAGAAAGTGAGGAAGCTGAGAGCTCCCCAGCACAGATACTCTGTTCAGGGACAAAATAAAGCTGGGTCTTCCAGAAGCCTCAAATTCAGAGCTCTAAAGGATGGTGTTATGTGGTGGGGGGAAGGAATTTGATTAGATTTGTTCGGCACACTACTCCACAAACCATGATTAAGAAATGTAAACCTCGAAGGTTTGAGTTTGCAGGTCATAGTGTTTTATTGGGATCAGTTCACTGGTCAGTTTGAGACATATAGATAGCAATAGCAATAGCACTTAGACTTTTATACAGCTTCACAGTGCTTTACAGCCCTCTCTAACCGGTTTTTACAGGGTCAGCATATTGACCCCAACAATCTGGGTCCTCATTTTACTGACCCCAGAAGGATGGAAAGTTGAGTCAACCTTGAGCCAGTCAGGATTGAACTGCTGGCAGTTGGCAGAATTAGCCTGCAGTACAGGTAGTCCTTGACCTACAACCACAATTTCTGTTGTTAAGTGAAACATTTGTTAAATAGTTTTGCCCTGTGTTAGGACCTTTCTTGCATAGTTGTTAAGTGAATCGCTGCAGTTGATAAGTTAGTAAACTGGTTCTTAAGTGAATCTGGTTTCCCCATTGACTTTGCTTATCAGAAGGTCACAAAAGGTGATCAGATGATCTTGGGAGACAGCAACAGTCATATTTTGATCACATGATTGTGGGGATGCTGGAAAGGTCATAACTGAAAAACAGTTATAAGTCACTTTTTTCAGTGCCATTGTAACTTTGAACAGTCACTAAATGAACTGTTGTAAGTTGAGGACTACCTGTACTGTGTTCTAACCTCTGGGCCACCACAACTCTTGTGGTGGACTAGTTTGTGTTGAACAGATGCCCCTTAACATTTAAGAATCCTGCAAGGACTTTGTTAGGTTTCATGGGCTGCCATGAGATTCTTAGATGAGGTGTCACCTGGGGTGACCACCATTAATTGTGGTGGTAGCAGATGATACTCAGTCAGCAACTCAGCTCTTACTCCTTTTACTGACTAAAATCTTATTTGTGCCTCTCTCCATTGATTCCTTCAAACTACAATTTTAGAAGGCCTAAGACTTCTGAATATTAATTTTCAACAACAATACTTTAATCACATTAAATTATATGAAACCTGCTTAGTTTTAATTAATTGTGATGTGCAAACTCAAAGCTTAGAGGTTTACATTTCTTAACCATTGTCTGTGGGGCAGTGTGCTGAACAAATTCAATCAGTTATTACTTATTCAGTAAATCACAGTTAAGCAGTGCATGAAACCAATCAATCTCCCCCATGCCAGTTTATATAGCCCAGTGGTTTAAAAATACATTCAGTGTAAGGTAAATATCTGTGTTAATTACTCACCAGTATGTTGAAATCTTAGGCACAACAATTTGTAAATAAACTCAAGATTAGCTTTTGAATGATATAGGTTGTGCTGCAAAATATCAGAGCATTTCTGCATAATATAACTATAAAAGCATGATTAAGACAAGGAAAACATTTTTAAAAAACAAAGATGTAATTTAGCCAGGGGATAAGTTATAATTGTATTATAGACTTGAGTGAAGCTTTTGGTTAAAAACTTTGATGGTTAAGTATGCTTCAAACTATGCTGGTTTCATACCAATTAACTAGCAAGATTTTCTTTAGAGTACATCAGCAACTGTAGTTTGGTGTGATGTTGAGAACAGAGGTACAGGTAGTCCTTGAGTTACGACCATAATTGACCCCAGAATTTGTAATGCTAAGTGAGAAATTTGCTAAGTGAGTTTTGTCCCATTTTATGATTTTTCTTGCCACATTTGTTAAGTGTATTATTGCAGTTGTTAAATTAGTAATATGGTTGTTAAGTGAATCTGGTTCCCAATTGACTTTAATTGTCAGAAGGTTGCAGAAGATGGGCACATGACCCTGGGACACTGTAACAATCATAAATGTGAACAGTTGTCAAGCATCCAAATGTAAATCAGTGTGAAAAATGGTCATAACGCACTTTTTTCAGTGCCATTGTAACTTCAAACAGTCACTAACAGAATAACAAAATAACAGAATGATGGAGTTGGAAGGGACCTTGGAGGTCTTCCAGTCCAACCCTCTGCTCAGGCAGGAAGTTCTACACCATTTCAGACAAATCGTTGTCAATCTCTTCTTTAAAAATTCCAGTATTGGAGCACTCACAACTTTTGGAAGCAGGTTGTTCCACTGATTAATTGTTCTAACTGTCAGGAAATTTCTTCTTAGTTCCAGATTGCTTCTCTCCTTGATTAGTTTCATTGCTTCTTGTCCTGCCTTCAGATGCTTTGGAGAATAGCTTGACTCCTCATCTTTGTGGCAACCCCTGAGATATTGGAACACTGCTATCATGTCCCCCCTCGTCCTTCTCTTCATTAGACTAGACATACCCAATTCCAGCAACCGTTCCTTATATGTTTTAGTCTCCAGTCCCCTGATCATCTTTGTTGCTCTTTTCTGCACTCTTTCTAGAGTCCCAACATCTAGCATCCAAACATCCAAAACTGGATGCAGTATTCCAAGCATGATCTTACTGAGATATTATAAAGTGGTATTTAATGGAAATTAGATGTGAAGGCTGTTCCCAATCAATCTTGGTAGAGAGTGGTGCTCTCTAAGAGCATACTGCAGGGCTTGGTATTCTGTCCACTCTTTAATATCTACATGAAGCCGCTGGGTGAGATCATTCATCATCATGGGTTGAAATATTATCAATATGCTGATGATACTCAACTTTACATCTCCACATCTGGTGACCGAGTGATGTTGTCACTACCCTCTCATGGTGGGTGGTGGCCGTAGGGGCCTGGATGGGGGCCTGTGGGCTATAACTGAACACTGGCAAGACCAAATAGCTTTGGGTGCATGGAATTTCAAGATCTGGTCTGACATGTTTAGTTTTGGATGGGGTTGCCCTACCATGTTCAGGTCCAGTTCACAACTTAGGAGCTCTCTGGACTCACAACTCCTGCTCGAAAATCAGATGGCGGGCATGACTATAAGAGAGTCTTTGTACAGCTTTGATTTATGCACCAACTGTGGCGTTTCCTTGATCAGGACTCCCTGCACTTGGTCATTCAAGCCCTAGTCTTGTCTGGATTACCGCAGTGCGCTTTACATGGGGCTACCCTTGAAATGCATTTGGAAGTTTCAGCTGGTACAAAGTGCGTCAGCACAAATAGTGTTTTTTGGGGGGGGCATAGAATGATCCATGTTACACCATTGCTTTGCAAGCAGCACTGGCTGCCAGTTTGCTTCTGGGTGCAGTTCAAGGTGTTGGTTATGACTTTTACAGCCCTCCATGGCATAGGTCCCGACTACCTGATGAACCCACTCGTCCTGCTAAGAAAAGCCTGCCCTACGCATACTGATAGAGGAGGCCTCTTGAGGATCTCTGACTGGAGGGATCCAGGAGAAGAGCCTTCTCTGCTGTAGCTCCAGCTCTCTAGAGCATCCTGCCCCTGGAGTAAGTTTTGCCCCCACCTCCTAACACTCTGCAAGGGCCTGAAGACTTGGCTCTGACAGTTGGCCTGGGACCCAATAGGGGAGTACATCGCTGGAGGTGGGATTGCTAGACTAATTTGCTGGTCCCATCTTCCCCTCTGCACTTCCTGTTCCCCCTCCACTCATCTTTTTAATTTCATATTACTGTACTTGAACTGTTTATTTTTATTGTTTCATTCCTTTCTATTATTGTTACATTTTTTATCATTTTGTTTTTTGTTTTATTGTTGTAAGTCGCCCAGAGTAGCCCCATGGCAAGATGGGTGGCAAATAAATTTAACAAACAAATATCTCAAGATCTTCCTTTCCAGGTATAGGTTGTAACTAACCTGAAGCTGGGCAAAGCCTATCTGGGTATAGCTTCCTTGTGCTGCTCTGGTAGTTGTTGCAAGACCAGGAGGACTACTTGATCACAGCCTAATTTCTTCAAGGAGACTATAGCTTTGTTTAGAGCAGTCAGTAGATCTGTTGGTCATGAGTTGCCTAGAAGCTTATGATCACCAGCAATTTCATCTTGGTACAGTTTAATCTGAGGTTATTTCTTGTTATTCATTCCTAATGGACTCCAGATACCAGCTCTTACCTTCAACAGCATCCTATATTGGTGGTACGATACATGTGATTCATAGAATTATAGAGGTGGAAAGAGCTGTTAAGTATCACCTCTTGCCCTATACAAGCATGCTAACTAAAGTATCCCCAACAGATAATTGTTTACTGTCAAGCGGAATACAGTACATCCAGCAAAGGGAGCACCGTACCCAATGGTGTCCATGATATGCAGTAAAGAAAATCAAGATGGTGGTTATAGTGGCAACATGGTCCCACCTTTTTGTACATGCATACAAAAAACTAGGGTTTCAACTGCACTCCTGCGATCATGTTTACTTTTTTTACTCCCACTCTGGATTCATGGACATCCTTGCCACTTACTCTCCTAGTAACTAGCACCTTTCTGAGTAATTAGTTCCATTATTAAAATGTTCTCTGTGTCTGGGAGCTTTTGCCAAGACAAGTGGAATCTATCTTTTTTGTAGTATTCTCTATTACAAGTAGTCCTTGACTTACGGCCATAGTGGAGCCCAGAATTATGATATGACATTGTGGTCATTTAA